CTCCTCCGGCTCCAGGTCTAATTTCAAGGAGGCATGGTAGTTCGGCGAAAGGATGTTTGGGAGTCAGACTGGTTGTGAGATTGCGAGATAATTCTTCGAGATGGGCAGTCGTCGTAGTAATGTCTTCCGCCGCCAGTTCCCTCAATTCTTCATCAGTAGATGAATCTTTCAGTAGATCATTTAGCTCTGATAGCGATTCTTTCGTTTCTTCCCATTTTCTCAGCGCTATCGCTATATTTTGTAGTTCTCCAATTCGTTTCGCAATTTTCGCATCGAAGGTCTCGGAAGTTTCGTTACTCAATCGATCATGTTCCGCAGCCAAATTACGAGCTCGTGCAAGTAATGCTGGGGAAAAGGTATCGCCATTGTTTGCTGTTCTTCGTGTAAGAGGATGTGAATGGAAGGGTAGATTTGAAGACTAACGGACGGTGCTTGAGAATCGTGTGAATGGCAAAGATCGCCTTTTACCAGGCTTCAATGATAAATCTATACATCGTCGACATATCCAAGGAGCTCTAAACATTCTCGTTGGAATGGGTTTCTTGATAATTTATTAATTTCGATTCCATGTAACTTATTAATCTCATCCATCAACATTTTTGAAGCACGGACTATACTCGGGAAAACTAGCTTCAAGCGGCCGCTTCCATAGTGACGTGAGCGAGCAACTTCCCCGCTATACCGAGGCCGATAACGCGCATTTGGTATAAACCCCAAAAATAGATTTCTGCCTAATAAAAAAAGAAATTTTAGAATCTATATGGTGTGTTTATAGAAATCTTATTCTATTATAGAGAATCCAATCTTATTAAAAGGTTTTTTTGAAAAAGATTATATTGTTGAATAGCTTTTAGGGTTAGCTTTATTTATTTGTTTTTAAAATTCATTTCGAGATTTTCTAAAAGAAGTATATTAATATTTAAAATCTATTTTCAAATAGTTTTTTTAATAGTATATAGATTATTCTAGAATAAACAAGATAAGTTTAATAAATATTCCTTATAATGTATAGATTATTTTAGAATAAGCAAAATAAGTTTAATAAGAATTCCTTATCTCAAGTTCAAGTTTAAATTTATCTCGTTTAAATTGTATAACTAATATAATTCTAATTAGTTTTTATAATATTAGAAAAAGTATTTAATTTAGTATATAACTTTAAAGGAATTAATGAAATAAAAGAAAAATAGATTTAATTATTAATTAGAATTTAAGAAATCGATGGATGTATTGTTTTTAAATTATCTCAAAAATTCAGATTTATATTTAATTCTAATTATTTTTGTTATATTTATAAATCGGTTTTATATTGATATCTTAAATATTAGGTTTGATGATTAATTGAGCTTTAAATGATATCATCAATATTAAAAATAAATATTTAATTCAATATACAATCTTAACGAAAACTATAAAATAAAAAGAAAAGAGATATGAGTATTAATTAAAATTCAATGAATTAATTGATATATTTCTTTTTGAATTATTACAGAAATTGAAATTTATATTTAATATAGAAATATTTTATTGAATTTAAAAAGAGATTAAATTTCAATCTTTAATCTCTTATTCTTTAAATTAAATATAAATTTCAATTTTTGAGATAATTCAAAAATAATTATATCAATCGATTCTTTGAATTTTAATTAATATATATATCTCTTTTCTTTTTCTTTTATAGTTTTCTTTAAGGTTATGTATTGAATTGAATTCTTTTTTTTATATGTATATCACTAAATTCTAAATAAGGTTTTAGTGTAGGCAGAAATCTATTTTTGGGGTTTATGCCAAATGCGCGTTATCGGCCTCGGTAGCTATCTGGACCTCGACTTTATCCATTAATATGAATTTCAGATCAACTATCGTACAGATGATATTATAAATTTGAAGAATACAAAACAGAAATTCTGCTTCCATATACTTCAAAATAAATAAATAGCAACGTAGGTCTCATAGAGAACTGGGAAGGGAAAGAAAATTGGACTATAAAAACTATCTGAAAGTGCCTCGTACTCATATCCGGATATCAATCTCGCCTACATACCCAGGAGCCTAGGTAGTAGGTAGACTTCGCTGGTTCTTTTGACCCCACGTTCACATTTTATACCGTAATTGAATTGCCGAAAGCGGGACTAACCTTCCTCTTTCGCCATTCAGATCCTAGATAAGTGAATTGTGAATGGAATCTTTTGGGAGATTGTTTCTGTAACTTTTCTCTTCTGTACATTTGTCTAATATATAAGACTTTCGCGGTGGTAGAGATACTTACTTGAACATACATTTCCTTATCAACGGTAGTAGCCGAGGATTTGAAAGCATCTTCTTCAGCTGCCCACTCTAGAGATCTGTCTCGAAAATGCCTGTCAATCTAAACTCAGTCTTTCCGGCCTCCGACCCGGAGTTTGTTACATTTCCTAGCAGAAGAAGTGTTGTTCATAGCACTGATGGTTTGATCGCTTGTACTCAGCCTTTAGCTGCTAGATGTGGTCTCAAGGTTTTAGAAGCAGGTGGAAATGCAGCTGTAAGTTGTCCTTTTTCTAACAATATGCAAGCTAACTCGTCTTAGGATGCAGCGGTTGCAGTTGGTATGTTAAACCGCTTCAATATAGTATCATCTAATCTAACAAAACTCCAGCTGCCGGTCTCAACCTGACAGAGCCAACCTCCACCGGTATCGGTGGTGATATGTTCTGTCTTTTTTATGATGCCAAGACAAAGGAGGTTAGTTCTTTAAATGGCTCAGGTCGTGCAGGCAACAAATGCTCTCTTGAAAAAATCCGACAGGATCTCGGGTTAAAGGATGATGACCCTGCAAGAATTCCACTCAAAAGTCCACATGCTGTTACTGTACCAGGTGCAGCTGCAGGTTGGGTTGATACCGTGGAGAGATTTGGTAGTGGAAATCTTACTTTGGAGCAAATCTTGGCTCCAGCTATTGAGATGGGTGAAAAGGGGTTCCCCGTCTCCGAATTAGCTTCAACTATGGTATTGCACCCTAAATCTCCCCAATATTGCCAAGTCTAATGCAACCAATAGTGGAGAAATAGTGAAGGTCTACTTCAAAGGGCATCCCCTAACTTTTCCGAAATGTTAAAAGAGGATCCGAGTGCTCCAAATGGCTGGCGGGCACCAAGACCAGGAGAGATTTTCAAAAACCCAAATCTTGCTAAGACTTTCAGAGCACTCGCAACTGAAGGCAAGAAAGGCTTTTATACCGGAAGAATTGCCGAAGAAATCATCGGAGTCACTCGGAATTTAGGGGGGTTTCTTGAACTAGACGATTTGAAAAATCATATGGACATTGGTAGTGAGAAATCCACACCCATCTCCAAAGTTTTCAAAGGGCAAGGATACGACAAAACCCATCATTACGTCGACGGAATATCCGGCCAAGGCATCAACGAGGACAACCACGGCGTCAAAATCTGGGAGCACCCACCCAACGGCCAAGGACTCGTAGCACTCATGACCCTTGGGATCCTCGAAGAACTCGAAAACACGGGCAAAATTCCGCATTTCCAGGAGAAAGATCATAATTCTGCCGAATACCTTCATGCTGTTATTGAATCTTTGCGTATCGCTTTCGCAGATGCCAGTTGGTTTATCGCCGACCCAGCTTTCACCAAAGTCCCCGTAGAAGAACTGATCTCTCAACCTTATCTCGCCGAACGCGCTAAACTATTTGATCCTCAGCGTTCCAATCCCGAGATATATGATCATGGTTCACCAGCTCATAATCATAGTGACACTGTATACTTCGCCGTAACCGACAAATGGGGCAATGGAATTTCTTTCATAAACTCTAACTTCGAGGGTTTCGGCAGCGGTATCATTCCCAAAGGCTGTGGATTTGTTCTCCAAAACAGAGGTGGCAATTTCTCACTTGTGAAGGGCCATGCCAATGCCATTGCGCCTGGAAAGAGACCTTATCATACCATCATTCCAGCTATGGTCACTAATGTCCACGATGACTCGCTACATAGCGTGTACGGCGTCATGGGTGGTTTTATGCAACCACAAGGACATGTTCAAGTACTACTTAATATGTTAGCGTTCAAACTGAACCCTCAAGCAGCACTCGATGCGCCGAGATTTTGCATCAGTGCAGATGGAGTTCCGGGAGAATCAAATCAAGAGAGAAGAGTGTTTTTGGAAGAAGGAATCTGCAAAGATGCATTCGAAAAGTTGAAGGGCATGGGTCATCAGGTAAAAATGGTGGAAGGGTACCAAAGGGGTGTTTTTGGTAGAGGGCAGTTGATAAGGGTACATGGAGAGGAGGATGGGGTTTTGGTTTTCAGCGGAGGTAGTGATCCTAGGGGGGACGGGGCCGTTTATCCTGGCTAGATAGATGATCAACAAAGAGGATTTTGGCCTGATAGAAATTCATAGGATAACCATCGTCGAATTTCGTTATTTAAGCGACTGTTGGAAGAAAGTAGAAGTTGGAGCCGAGATCTACGATACTGAATACGCTGGTATTTGTGTGGGATTCGTATTATTTTATGATATACGTATTCATCCACCAAGAACGCGTCATTACGTTCAATGTTAATATCAATTTATATACGGCAAATTACTCTGAAATTAATACTTAAGATCATACCTATTTTATTCTTTTCTTCTTTAGATTCTATAATAAAATCGATCTCAAAGTTACAGATTATAATTCTAAAGATTCTAAAGATTTTAATCATTCTGATGATTTCAAACCATTCAAACCATTCAAACCATTCAAACCATTCAAACCATTCAAACCATTCAAACCATTCAAACCATTCAAACCATTCAAACCATTCAAACCATTCAAACCATTCAAACCATTCAAACCATTCAAACCATTCAAACCATTCAAACCATTCAAACCATTCAAACCATTCAAAGTATTGATAGAACTGATTATCAAAACATCAACGCAGTAGGAATTTATGATTAACTGGAGTAGTGCTAAAGCAAGCACTATTTGATACTATTATATGCGAGTTACCACTGTCCGCCAACATCTATCCCATAGCAACATCTCCATCCGCGTCAACATCTTCACCAGAATCACCAAAGCTAACACCACCAGATTCACCAACGCTAACACCACCGCTAGCAACACCAAGACCAGTTCGCTCCCGACTTTCGCCAAACAAACGAGCTTGCTCGGCTTCATTGATAGCCTGTTGCTCTGCGGACACCGTGTCCGTAGCTGTCTGATTTGGGACGACAGCTAAGATCGAACCATTTGGATTACGAAAATCATCTTGAGTAAAGGCTAACATCTCTATACACTGGGAGATGGTAAAATCGGCATCAATGCTCTAGAAACCCTATCATTAGCTTTGAATCTTCGCATAATATACGTAGCTGCAACCTACGCTTTGCGCAACACTAGGGTCTCCAGCCTTCATAGCTCGCTCAGCCCAGAAACTTTCAATCACAGGCAATTTGCACTAAAAATATCAGATTTCGTCTTCTCCTGAAAATGTACACTCCGCATCACTCACTTGTTCGAAAGCCAAGCGCAAAAGATCCTCTTTCTCCTCGGTAGATTTTGGCGCCTGGGGCCAATCCTTCAATCTTTTCTCCAAGAGCCAAAACCAGTGTCGTTCGACTGGTGCACGCTTCACTACGAAATTTGGATTCATCGCGCACACTTGGCTAGAAAACTGATGGAATTTGTAGATCCGCGTGATCCAGTGAAAATTATGTCTTAGAGTTGGATAGTGGTAATCGGGTTCGACTTCTTCGATCAAGGAAGGATCGATATCGTCCGCCTCGGTGAGCTCTTCGGAATCGTTCATTTTCCTAGCGGGGAATATTAATTAGTATTGCGATACAGATTTGTATATAAAAGCATTGTGGGGGATGTTTTTCAGCGTACGTAGGTGTAAAATTGTACGTAGGGGTGATGTTGTACGTAGGGGTGAAGTTGTGCTGCGACGTTTCGGTTGTCGATATTATTTGGGATCAGGAATTTTGGCGCGAAAGATGGAAGTTGGATGCCTTTTAAAGAAACCAAGCGAATCTTGAAGAAGTGAATTTTAGAGAGTGGATCTGCTCATCAAGTTCTTGGATTTAAACCCTTTTAGAAGAGGAAGAGACGATTGAGTGAATGGCACACGGGTTATTCCTAGGCATAGAGCTTTGGTCATATGAGATTACTAGATGGGATGATAATCATTAAATCTTGCATGAATTGTTCATGTGAAAGATATAAAATGGGCTAAGAATAGTTAGAAATAATTTGGTGGAGATATAAAATACGTCGGGATGATTTCAAGGAAACGCATTTTTGAGATGTAAAGACTAATTCAAGTGAAATTGTCACACAGAGAGCACATCTTTGACACTCTATATACTCGGTTAGAGCACAAAAGGGGTAGTAGATTCTGATGGTGAAACAACCAAGTATTCGGTTCTGTATCATGCATCCATGTTTGCAATGTCGAGCTTTTCAACAATTTTTTGAGCTTTACTGTTCAAAAACATGGTTGCGTAGCAACTCATAATGATATTATAGGTACAAAGTAACACTCTATTCGTCGATCGCACAAGGCCCTAAGCCTTTCTATATCTATGCTGATAATCTATTTTCATGGATTCACCTTCTTTCCTCTGATCTTCCCTCGCCCGTCCCTGCAATGCCATCATCTTCAGTATCATCTGACTCCCTCACGACCTCGCCTCCGCCATTTTCCCACTCCCAATTTCTCCTACTCATGATCCATCCAGCACTCCAGACAGCCACCACTGCTAAGCCACATATGAAACTCATTCCAAAGAATGGTAGCCCCACCCAAATGCCTTTCAATCTCAATCCTTCAATGTAAAGTTGCGCAAAGCCCGGCCCCGCGATTAGCCTTCCAGTTGTCTCGACCACTGCCACTGCCGCATACAGCTGTCCCTTGTGTTGTCTATCAACTAGTGTCGTTATCAGAGAGCGCATCATGGAGATGAATCCTGCACCCAAGGTAAAGACTGCCATCCCCAGGATAGCTAATGGAAGAGTTGGGGCTAGGGCAATTAAGAGTGAACCGAGTGTGAGAATAAGAATAGAGGCGCGAGCTAGGTGAAGGTCTTTTTTTGAGGAGGGTATTTTGAAATAGGTGATCATGAGTTTTGATAGAAAAGGGAGAATGAGGAGAAATAAGATGATTTGCACAGCAGCGCGGAGGGACCAGAGGAAGGAGCTTAAACGAAGGGGAAAGTGGAAGCGGTTGCTTATGTAGCGAAGCGATATATCTTCAGACTGACTGCTAAGAGGCTTAATGATGAAAGTGATAAGGAGAAGAACTAGAGGCGCAGAGTTGAGAATCGAGAGAGATAATCGGAATGTTCGGAGCGTATGTGAAAAATTGTACCCCACCGCGGCGAAGAGAGAGTTTTGTGGTTTGCAATTGTGAGTGAAGTCGTTAGTTGAGGTAGCAAGAGCCACATGCGATGTGCTAGTCCTCCGATCTTGCATGTGTAGAGTTTCCGGAATGAACAATATGAGAAGACTCCCGAGAGTCAAGAAAGATATCCCTAGTAAAATTGGGATCCATGGTGACTTAGCCATCAATAAAGCAGCTAGAGACGGAGCAATCAATTGTGCGACAAGATCCGTAGCAGCCGCCAGGAAAAAGATATTAGTCCTTGATTTGTTAGCAGAAGCTAAGATAAATTCTATTTGGGAGACGAATATAAAAATACCTTTTGGCTTCTGAAGTGATATCACTGACGATAGCAAAAAATGCCATACTTCCTACACTCGGTCCTCCCCCTATTACTGTGAAGATGGGACCAAGCCAAGTGAGGCGAAGGGGTAGTGTATGCCATAACCACATTACCACGATGTTCCACAGATAGCTGAGAATAGTGCCTGTTATTGCTAAAATAAAGATTGGCTTCCTTCCGATTCTGTAGTCTGTCAGTATGGTATTTGTTTAGGAGAGATTGCCTCGAGTAATCATCCCAGGATTCCTCGTCCTTGGGTTCTTGCTGATAGAACTAAAATCAATATATACCTATCCATAAGCATACCATACGGTATTGTTAGAAAAAGACCTATGTCGATCAGCTTCCTTTCAGTCATTATGTTTCTATATCGCTTGCTTACCTGGAATAGCCCCAAGAAAGTATGTTCCGGCGACTATTATACTCAACTCATTCTGAATATCGTCTTTCTTACACATGCTCTCATCGATATCCCCTCCCAGAATGATATGACCCTCTCCCTGTAAGCGATCATAGTAATGGTGACAAATTATATCTTCATAGACTCTCAACACGGGTACAGCCATCAAGTATCCCCCAAACTCAAACCATAATAAAGTCGCAAGTACGATCGCCGTTATTGAGGATGGTGATCGTGCCTGGGAAAAGATTGATTGAAACGGTCTCGAAAACGAAGAGAAGATGGATCGCTGTGGCGGTGGGGACAGCAGAGGTGTTTCCTCACTGGGAAGTAAATCTTGAACTGACATCGTGAGTTCACTTGAGAGTGATGTAGTTTGCTGTTTCTCTTAACACTAGGTGAAGAATTCGAGGAGAAAGAAAGAATAAAAGAGAGCAGATGGAATTTTGAACCTCAAACGTGGCCAACCAACTTTGACGACCACGGAATATTGCAACAGTTTGATGCACAGGTATATCGGATTAAAAGAACGTGATACCCCATAGCGTTTATTTGTTCATACAAATGATTAGAGTATTGTCGCGCTTATCGTTGATCAACCAACTTTGATTGGTTTCTCGGGAACATTGATGAGGTTCTATTCCTTGTACCTATCAGTAATCTCCAGATTTGTTCGCGCACCTACCTAATTCGGCTACTTGAAATTCGTCTCACCTGTCATCTTACGCGATCGTCCAATGACAACTCTAATCAGGGCAGAAATATTGGAGATGATGATAAGAGTTATATTCCGTATTCTGAAGAGGAATGGTTGAGCTCCGGATAAGAAGCCGAACTCCAAGATAGTACAGAGTAGGTAAGAGTTCTGGCCCCTGCTCACCGCACATGTAACGCTTTCCTGGTTAAAATATAGAATTATTCAACTTTTTATATTCTAGTTTATTTTTTATAATCAAAGATTAAATGAAAAATTCTTTAGGAAAATGTTATTTAATTAATCAAATCTTATAGAAAAATGAATAGAATATTTTTTTCTAATTTTTTGAATAGAATTTGAAGGAATTGAAGTTGAAAGTTCTAAATTTTTATGAAAATTCGTTTATTTTGTATAGAAAAAACATTACATATTAGAATTTTTAGAAAATTTCGATTTCAATATTATATAACTATTCAACAAAAATAGCGAAAAATATTTCGAATAATTTTTTGTATTTGGATTATAATTATTTATTATTTTCGGGTTTTTTGAAAAGAAAATAAAATAATTTGAATGAAATATTGAATAAAACAATTTGTATGGGAAAACCTTATTTTTGCGGGGATTTTGTCACATTTGTCACAGGGGTGCGCTGAGTAAGGACCAGAACTCTTACCTTCAATACTCCGTACTCGAGTAGAAATCTGATAACAAATCAATAGATCCACCAGATCATCCATTGCTTCATTGATAATTCTTTAAATGATTAATTACAGTTCTCAATGCCATCTTATATTGTCATAATTTTTCTACAATAATAGATGTCCATCATTGAATTCTGCAAGTATTTTATATAACCCCTTTTCATTTCTAGCAGACTTGGCATTGAGCCTGTCCTCAGTTGACAGATTATCAATAGTCTTCGGCGTGATTAGATGGGAAGTTCATGAATCACTCAACTGTTTGTTGTAATAGTTTCGGCCCATTCATCCATGGTTGCCGTTAAAACTTCGATTTTACCCTATTGTTTGAACAAAGTTGTTTCCTTTCCATACTGCCTTCTGTTCTCTTCATTTGAATATCGCCGCAGATATATTTCCTACGAACATAGCCAAGAAGATAGTAGATACAGTCACTCAAATCTATAAATTGGCGAGAATAATTGTTCGCATTGCGAAAGGACACCGAAAGCTTACAACTTGTATTCTTCAGTTATTCTATGCATTATGTCCTCATATCATATCATTTGTTTTGACCTTGGGCAATCTTTCCATTTTTTAGAAATAGTATGCCCACTAGGCCATGGACATCCACAGTCATCTGGTATTATCTGAGCTGTCGACCATTGACCATGATACCTAGCAGCTTCTTTTTGATTTTTCGACAAATTCCCTCTCGTTTGGCGTAGCTGGTGACCTAAAGCAAACACTAAAGACAGAGTGTATTCATCGGTGTACTGCGGCTAAGTTTCTCGCACAGCATGGAATGAATACCATGGCCAAGAAACCGGGTAAGAATCTACATCTCCGTCTTATTCGAACCCCATCGTACCATTTCCCCCTCTAAACTCACATAACGATGAATAGCGGTGAAAGATCTCTACCCCTCACACTATTCTGCACAATCGATCTATTCCGTGACAGCGGCTCCGTCCACGATATCGATATTCCCCCCTTTACACGCAAGAACCTACGCTCTTGTCTGAACGCCATCCCTCAAAAGTTGTTTTTCCTACAAGGAGGGTATAAATTTCGAGAGAACCTCGATCTGTACAAGATATCTAATGATACAGTTTTGATGCATGACTTGAGAATGGTATTTCTAGAATCCATCATACCGACCCATGGAAGTCTTGATAGCAAAATAGACACCGACATATTGAAACACGAAAGCCAACCTTTCTGCATTACGCGCGAGCGATTATAAGACCGACGAGAATCTTGATCATGAATGAGGCTACTCGCAAGTAAGTTCTAACTAATCCTTTT